TTTTAATTATTTTAAAAATTTTCTATATTATTTTAAATGCGCTTTAATGAAATGCTCAAATATTTCTGTATTCATATTAAATTTTAGCCAATAGTAAACTCATCTCACATAGGCTCAGGCAAACCTGCTGCTTACGATTGAAATCATATACGTGCATGTGTAGAAACTTGCTCCACTATGGAGCTCCCCGATGGAGCATCAAATGTTTAGGTTTGGCGTTACCGTTAGCCTCGTATCTCTCGTATTTACTTGCGTTGCGTTTGTGTTTCTTGCGCTTGGCGCAATCTTCTAATTAAAAGTGCAACTCATACCCAGTCGACTCGAGTCGGGCTCTGACCCAAATTGAACTCTTTCGGCGAGAAGGCAACAGCCAGAGCGAGACCCACTCGAAGCCAAGTAACCCCACCCCAGCTATTATCTGGCACGAGCCAAGTGACGGGCCAACCACAATATAATCTCTGTGGCATTATATATGCCCCATGCTCCATACCCCGTGTCCCATGCCCCAGTCTCTTGCCCGACATGCCCCAATGCTCAATGCACAGGCCAAGCGTATGTCTTGAAGCAGCCACTCTGGAGCTGAAAGAGTGTGTGTCTCTGTGTGTGTGTGTGTGTTTGTATTTGTATTTGTATTTGTTTCTTTTTTTCATCTTCTTTGTATTTGTTAATAAACTCCCTGGCAGACTAAATTCAAATTACGCACACATCTTAAGACATAGACGAGAAAGACAACGACGTCGGCAGCCATTTCGCTTATAGCTGGCTCATTATGTCAGGTCTATATTCATATACGCCAACAGGCTACCCACTCCACTCCACATACCCACACTCATAGCCCTCCCCCAAGTCTCTGCTCCCCTCCCTGGCCAACCGATTGCCGCATGCGTGAGTGCGTTTCGAGAGAAGCTTCAGCTGGGTTGCCCTATTGCTGCTATTGGATGACTCCCGTCTTTTGACTTTGGCTTGTCGTAACATTTCATCTTTATTTTGGCATTATTCCCTGGGCGCCGCTTATTGTTTTCCGTGAAAATGGCAACGGCAATGGCAACAAATTAGAAGCGTGCCCAACGCCCGAAACGAACGCAGCAGCAGCAGCAGCTGAATCTCGTTTGGCCTGATCTAATTGGAATATAGCCAAGTTCTACGAGATTTCTTGACGGCCCTGCAACCAGCCAACCAAATCTTAGGCCTTGCACCACCCATTGGCATCTTCAATTAACAAATGGACTACGGCTTGGCCAAGTGAAAGCCCAAATTGCAATTTGCCACATTAAATAGCTAACAAATATTATTAAGTAAGATGGACTTACCCGTAACAATAATCCCTCGATTTACCGTTTGATTGAGTCAAACTAATTAATTATATTGAATTCGAATGTAACCAAAGCACGAAACTGCTGAAATCAATTAGAATTCTAAGATTAATTCAGATCAAATTATAAATACATATGATTGGGTGATTTTTCAATTTTGTTTTGAATAACCTAACTCGGCTTGATGCAATTTTTATATCAATAAATATCTTTGTAAGCTACAGTTTTCACTTTTTCAAATATAATTTATCATTTGAATGAAAATAAATAAATCCCTTATTTTGAAAAATAATTATAAAATTTAAATAAATAAATTGAAATAATTATAGACCAAAATCTGATCAAAAATCATTTGTTAAAGTAAAATATATATTTTTGTCAATTAATTTTATTTTGAGATTCATTGCCAACTTTTTAAAACTATGTTTTTTTCCTACTTATCTATTAATATACTATTAAATTTTTGTTTATAAATTTATAAAACTATTTCATTTAGTTTATAAACCTAACAAATAGTTTTACCATCACAATGTGGATTTCGTTTAGCGTTGACAACAACCTGTACAAATATAAGCGACAACAATGCCACTAGTCCATTTCGAATTGGTGTGTGTCTTCAATAAACGGGGGTTTAATGAGCTAGATGAATGTTTCATATTTAAAGAAAATAAAATAATTTGGAATGTATACTTCTGAAAAGTTTTGTAAATGTAGAGTAAATTGTAAATCTTATTTTAATAACTAAATGTCCTAAGCATTCTTATAAAACTCAACAGGTTATCGAACCTATTATGCATAGACAGCCAAGACACACAATAAAAACAGTGTTGCATAGTTAAAGGAAAATGTCACGTGTTAAACTTAAGCAACGCTGTTCGTTTTAGTATTTATTTATTAATTACAATCGTTAAGCGCGTATTTTTGAAAATGTTAAACAAAGACGACACATTTTATTTATAATTAGTAAAATAGTAATAGAACTCTGTACGCACTACTTAAAGTCCATGCAGTCGAAATCCTTGGCAGGCTACAAGGTATTCAGTCGCTGGCTCTGTTTATCCTTTTGATTACACTGCTTCTATTTTTGCGTTTTGCTTATAGTTCGTTTTCATATTGTGTTTATTAATCTGTATAAGCAACGAAGTCGTAGGATTCAGCTTTACATAAATTCATCGTACAACAGTTCAAAGTCGTTTAACAGTATCCATTTGCATTAAGTATTGTTCTGTTTCCATAATGTCCTTTTGGTATATCATGCACGGCAATCCTTTTCTTTTTGTTTTTTGTTTTTTTTTTTTCTTTTTTTATCTCCAACAATGTTTTTTTTTTTTTTTTTTTTAGCTAACGTTTACGAGTTACGCTCCCAGAGAGAAAGAGTCGAGATCTCAATTCCCCTCTCTTTCTCTCATCCATCCAAAGCTACACTACAAACTGTGTCTCTCTTTCTCTTTATCTTTCTCTTTCTCTTTCTGTTGTTGTTGTTGTTATGTATTGTCGTCAACATTAAACGAATGCTACTTCTTCAGGCCCCAAGCATTGTTGCTGGGCACTGGGACGCGACGTTGCCCCGATTCACGTGCCAGCACCTCCATGATGCTCGTAGCCGGCAGCCAGCACTGTATTAGGTAGATTAATCAATAATAATTAATTAAACACTATAATTGAATTGTCTAGTTAATTGCATTTCACTCACGCGTTCCTTGTGCGCCGTGGCAACGACATTGCGATTGGGCTCCTTGTCATAGGAGACGGACTCCACGCCAAACACCTCGCACAGCTCATGCACCAGCTGGCGCTTCTCACGATTCATGGTGGGAAACGAGTGACTCCGCGACTTCTGTTTGCTCTCCTTGGCCAGCTTCACTAGATCGGTGAGCGTTTCATAGACGCTCTTCGTTAGCGCCGGATTGCGCTTGGCAAAGCCACGCAAGAATTCCGAGTACTTGGTCAACGGCTTCAACTGTGTGTCCGGATTGCGCGACTGCAGGCCAATGGCCAAGCGACGATTGCGCTCCAGTAGGCGACACTCTTCATTGCAGTCCAAGCTGTAGCAGCAAAAGGGAAATATATTCTTATTATTTTATTATATTTAATTATGTACTCCACTCACGTTTTGTTGGACTTGTTGTTTTTGTTGGGCGCCAAAATTTCGCTCAGCTCCATGTAGTTGCCGCGCGACATCTCCGCCATGGAGGACGCCAGCTGGGCGGTGGCAATGCGACTATGCTCGCGCGCCAGCTCCTGACAGCTGCGATTCTGCTTTCGATTGCCGCACTCGCACTGCACCTCGACCAGCTCCTTGCAAGGCGTCTCGGGGCAGTCGCCTTCATGACAGACGGCGGCGCATTTGTGGCCGCAGAGCAGGCGCGGCTTGGTGCAGCTCTGGCGGCACTGCTCGCCCGCCTGCTGGCACTCGCCCTCATGGCAGGGCCGAATGCACTTGTGTCGGCCGCAGGGCAACGGCTTGCCACAGGCCAGGCCACAGCTGAAACTGGCTTGGGAGCAGGGTATGGTCTTGCGCTGCTCATGCTGGCCGTGACACCACTTCGTGGTGAACATCATGCAGGGCGGGCAGGTGGCCGCCGCATGGCAATTGTGCTGAGGCGGATGCTCACAGCCGTGGGTGCGCGAGCAGGGGCGCTTGCAGACGGGCTTCTTGGTGCCGCAGGGCACCGGCGGATAGATGACCTCGGCGCCGCACTCGCAATAGAGCTCCTCGAAACTGCTGCGATAGCAGGGCGGACAATTGCCCCGATGGCAGGGTTGATCGCATTTGTGCCGTCCGCAGGTCAGCGTTCGATTGCAGGGCAATGGACAGGCGTGATCGATATCGATGCAGCACTCGGCGTTGCATTTGTGCTTGCCGCAGCTGCGCTTCTTGGTGCAGCGTCGCTTGCAGCGCGCATCGTCCGCTCGCGTCGACAGCTGCCGGCACTTGATCATCTGATCCATGTGGCCGCAGCGACACTTCACAGCCGTCTGCTTCGGGCAGGGCGGACACTGGCCCAGGTGGCACTTGCTGGCGCACTGATGCGGATGCGCTGGCTTGCCGCAGCGCAGCGTTTTGTTGCACGTCCCCTCGCACGTGGGCACCGGATCGAGGCAGCTGCTGCGCTGTGACGCCGGCACGGGCAGCTTGCCACAGGGACAGCTGGTGATTTGAGTAGGACTCAGCTTGCAGGGGCGACAGGCGCCGGCATGACACGAATCCTTGCACTTGTGATTGCCACACGGCAGGGGCTTGCCGCAGCACTCCTTGCACGAGTAGCTCCGCTTGTCCTGCGTCTCCCGGGTGCACAGCACCTCGCGCTGCTGCTTGCCGCAATGGCAGTTCTGCTGCACTTGCTCCGCGCACGCCTCGCACTTGCCCGCATGGCAGGGCTGCTGGCAGCGATGCTCGCCGCAGTTCAGCAGCTTGTCGCAAATGGCGTCGCACTGCAGCGGCTGCTTCATGGCGCACTGCATTATCTTGGAGGTACGACCACAGCCGCAGCTGCGCGTCACGTTAGCCTGGCACGGCGGACACGGGCCCGGATGACAAAGCAGGGTGCACGCATGGCTGCAACCCTCGACGCGACAGCAGAGCTCGCCGCAGCTGTGGGCCAATTCGTTGCGCGTCAACGGCGGATTCTTGAGCTTGCCACAGAAGCAGAGATAGTCGCGCGGCAGCTCTTGCAGCACATTCTGGCAGGCCGGACAGCGCCAGCCCTCGTTCGACTTGGAGCTGCTCGCCCAGGTGATGGTGCACTTTAGATGCAGCACGTGATAACAGTTCTGGCACGACCAGGTGCCGTGATGGGCCTTGATCAGTTCCACGCAGACAAGGCACTCGAGTCGGCGCTGCTCAATGTCTCGCATTAGCTTCTCGCGCTGTGACAGCTTCTCCAGTTCAGGTGCGCGCCTAGGCGAGATTTGTTGCTGCTGGTGATTTTGTTGCTTCTCGGGCGAAGCCTGCGCACTGTCGTTGCTGTTGCTAGTGTCCAACTCCTCGGCGGCGCGTGGATAGCCATTGATGCGATCACGATTACGATTCCAATCGTCGCGTCGTTTATTGCTGCGATGATTATCGTAACGTTGCTGTTTCTGCGGCTTCTTGCCACGCTCATACCGCTCCTCATTGCGCTCCTCACGATAGTCGTTACGTCGCTGCTGGCGGCCGTTGTTACCGCCTCCGCCGCCCCCACTATTGCTGGCTTGACTCTTCGATTGTCTAAACTCTGATCGATGTGGTTGCTGAGCTGAATTCCCACTCGACGCTGCTGTTGCTGCTTCTCCTCCGTTTGGCTGTGTGGCAGTGTTGTTGTTGTTGCTATGATTTTTAACAGAGGCACTCTCTGTCATCGGTGCTGTCGCTGTTGCTGCCGCTGTTAAACTCAGCTTGGCAAAATTGGGCACAAATTCGGGCGCTGTTGCCTGAAGCTTGGAAGCGCTGAAATCGTAGCCAGTCGAGGCAGCAGCAGAAGCAGCAAACGGATTGCTGCCGAAGGATGTATAAGGATTTGGATAGACCACAGGATAGGCAACCGCTGCGCCAGCTGCATTGTAACTGTCGCCATTTTGATTGCCATAAAAGTGTGGCGCATATAACTGTGAATGCAAAAAAGGGATACATTTATAGAAGTAACAGTAAATGGCAATTCATTCTACTCACATTAGAGCCGCTGCTGGCGCTGCTGCTTGGAGTCAGGCCAAAGGCACCCCCGCCGCCGCCGCTAACATTATAAACGGAACTGGCCAAATTGTGTTGACTAATAAATTGATTAAAATTTACATAATTATTATTATTAGAGTGGCCATTGGCTGTGTTCGAGCACGTTGAATCTCCAGCTCCATTTGTTAGTTGTTGGGACAACTGTTGTGGTTGCTGCTGCTGCTGAGGCAGCTGCTGCTGTTGCTGTGACTGCTGCTGCTGCCAATACTCGGCCATGGTAGCGTGTTTTTTTTTTCTCTCCTCGCTTTTCGCTTTTGCCCACGCTGGCGAAAAGTGAATCCGAATTGTTGCGTATTTCTTGTTGTTGCGCCTGCAAGCAAACGCAAAGTGTATGTTTATAGTGAGTAATATATAAATTTATATGTACATATAGTATATGATTTCACAAGGAATTGTAACATTTACACGAATTTTGTTAATATGCTTCACTCGAAATTAGAAAAAGAAAAAAAAAAACAACTAAAGACACACTGCCATGCGCGTGTGTGTGCAAATGTGACAGATAGCTGAGAGGCGTGCGTGTGTATGTTGCTGACGTGAACTGTTACCTTTTCACAGGTACAAATGTGCCGATGTGAATGTTAAGTGCGGAGCGGCTCTGTTAACCTAACAAGTCTTCACTGTTAGTTGGTGGAGTACACTGTTAACGACTACCGTATTACTGTTAACTGTCGCATATGATGTTGCACGACAGCGCAGCTATGCTTGCTAACGCTCTCTGTGTCATCTCTAAAACTGACACGAACATTTTGAACATTTTGGCGCCACATTTGATTTTCGTATTACATATTTTAATGGTATTGAGTTTAAATATGTGTCTTCAAATTTTTAATGGAATACAAATTACATTTTGTTAATTAGGTACAACAAAAATAAACTCCTTTACATAAAACCTTTATTTGGTTAGCATTTAACATAAAAACCAGCTCGACTAAATTTCTTTGGTATACAAATAGATGGCCACAATCATGCCATACAGGCCCAGGACTTCAGCAAAGATTAAAATCAAGATCATGCCTATAAATATCCGCGGCTGCAGGGCCGTATTACGTACTGCGGCATCGCCAACACATCCAATGGCATAGCCAGACGCTACTCCACAAAAGCCCACAGATAGACCGGCCGACAGATGTATATAGCCATGGGCCACCGAATAGGTTGCCGCCGAGTCCAACTTGCCAGATATCAGCACCGCAACGACCAGTCCATAGATGGCTATAATGCCGGCCATGACAACGGGTATGATCGACTTCATGATTAACTCGGGACGCATCACAGCCGTGGCAGCAATCGCCGTGCCCGACACTGCTGTGCCATAGGCAGCACCAACCGAAGAGAAGACGATGGCCGCCGACACGCCCATTATGCCATAGAACGGACCGTAGGTGGGGTAATGTATTAGTTGAATATCCGAAGTCAGGTGTTCATCATTTGGATTCAACTCAAATTCCTCATTCATTGCTAATTATCGTTTAGTTTTCGACTTTATTTAAAATGTTGTTTATTTTATTTCTTGAAAACTCGTCTCTGATTTAACTTAAATCACATGCAAATGCAAAGGCTACCTTAACTTTACAAACTTAATATAAATATATACAAATTATTGCTATGAACTGTGACAGTGAATGTAACTGTAACTGTGATATTTTATACAAATATTTGTTCTATTTTACTCCGTTTCAAATACCTTTTTTTTTTTAATTATTTAGACGTTTATAGCTATACATATCTACTTTTGAGTTGAATTTACAAGTGCTATTAAAAATAATAGAAAGCAAGTTGGAAAAATCGAGAAAAATCAGCTAAATTCAAGGAAAATTTAGGTTAGTTTGCGAAATGTTCGATTTTTACATTTAAATATTTTTAAGCTATATATATATTTTTTTAATCTGAACATTTTGGAAACTAGCCCCATATATATATTAAAAATATTTAATGAATGAAATTATATTTTATAGAAATACGAATATTTATAAGTTAAATTTATGCATGTTCCAATTATTCTTTATAAATGTCTATCAATTTAGATATTTTTCGGGCTTTCATAAACAAAAGCACAAGAAAATACATATATTATTAATGTAATCCTTAAAGGCTTTGTTCATACTCAGCTCATTCAGTCACACGCTGCTCGGATTTTTCATTTCCGCTTCTTGGCTAGAATGTGCGCAGATTGCTGAGCAGCGTTTGCTGTGCCGGCGGAAATGCGGATGCGGCGGCAGCGAACGTTGCTGGTGGCATCACAAAACTGGGAGCTGTGGCCAGCGACAATGTGTGCTGCTGCTGCTGTAGATGCTGCTGGAGTTGCTGCTGCTGTGGCTGCTGATGCTGTTGATGCTGCTGCTGCTGCTTGGGGGGCAACGGAAATGCTTGCGCGCCATCTAGCGGCCTGTATTGGCATTTCTTGGCATGCGTGCGCATATTGCTGGACTGTGTGAAGGCCTGGTTGCAATTGGGGTGTGGACAGACGTAGGGCTTGCAGCCTGTATGGTAGTTGAGATGCGTCTTCAGATGATGTTTCTTGGTGAAGGCCTTCGGGCAGAGCGGACAGCTGAAGGGCTTGATGCCCGAGTGCAGGCGATGATGCAGTGTCATGTTGCTGCGATCAGCAAAGGATTTGCCGCAGACGGAGCACTGATATGGCTTCTCGCCGCTATGGGTGCGCATGTGCTGCTTGAGCAGCATTTTGCGGGAGAATCGTTTGCCGCACTCGGCGCACTTGTGCGGCTTGACGCCCGTATGGATGCGGACGTGCATATTAAAGGCGACACGTTGATTGAACGATTTGGGGCAATAGGGGCATTCGTATTCCTTGCGATTTCGATGGATTTTCATGTGGCTGCTGAGGTAGCCCTTGTCGTTGAACGTCTTCCCACATTCCGGGCACTCGGCAGCAAACTCTTTGGTGCCACGATGCACGGATAAGTGATATTTATAGTTACGCAGCTGGGAGAAGCCTTTCCCACAGTCGGAGCATTCGTAGCGCGGTGATTTGTGTGTCTTCTCGTGCGCCTACAATGGGATAGAGAGAGAGAACGGTAGAGATGGTGAGTGTGAGTCAATTAGTGTGTATGTGTGCGTGGGAAAGGGAGCATTGAGCAATGCTGCTCATTGGCTTGACGGCCATTTTGTTCAACCGCGCTCAATTGCGCTCTCTTTCTAACGGCCGTGCTCGCGTGTGCTTGTCTTTCTGTGCTCTCTCTTTGGCTGTGGCTGCTGCTGCACCCATGCGTAAAACCAGTTCTCACATTTTGGTGTTGTTGCTTCTTCGCCTGCTTCTTCTTCGCCGTTTTGCTTCTGTTTTGGGCGCCACCATTTTTAACGATCAACGTGATTTGCATGAGCAGCGCAGCAGCGCTGCTGCCCCTGCGCTGCCCGCTTGTTACGCTCACTGCTCTACGCTGTTTGCTCCGCCTCTGCTTTAGACCCCGCCCCATTGGCTGCCTCGGTGTGATCATAACGTGTTCACATTTTAAACAAGAGAAATGATGCCTTGAGCTTCTGCCTATCGCTAGTGCCTTTGCTTATGCAGATTGAGCGCTTAAGATAAGCCAAACTGGATTTCTCCGAATTCAAATACAATTTATATTTCA